CTCATTGTTCAAATTTATGTTGATAATATTATCTTCGGTTCTACGAATAAATCTCTTTGTGAATCTTTTGCTAAAACTATGAGCCTTGAATTTGAAATGAGTTTGATGGGAGAATTAACTTTCTTCTTAGGCTTACAAATTAAACAACTAAGTAATGTCATCTTTATTAGTCAAACTAAATATGCTTTAAATTTGCTAAAAAGATTTAATATGGATAGCTCAAAAGCTATCAACACTCCTACGAGCACCTCCACTAAGTTAGAAATTGATGAAAGTGGAGAAAGCTTCGATCAAAAAACTTATAGGGGTATGATAGGAAGTTTACTTTACCTCACTACAATTAGAACAGATATCATGTTCAGTGTAGGACTTTGTACTATGTTTCAATCGAACCCTAAGATATCTCATCTCAAAGTAGTTAAAAGAATACTTAGATATTTTAAAGGTACCACAAATCTAGGATTATGGTATCCAAAACTGAGAATTTTGAGTTAATTGCTTATGCTGATACGGATTTTGCTGGGTGTAGACTAGATAGAAAAAGCACATCAAGAACCTGTCAATTCTTGGGACATGCCCTTGTTTCCTGGTCATCTAAGAAACAAAACTCGGTTGTACTATCAACAACCGAAGGTGAGTATATTGCAGCTAGTGCATGTTGTGCACAAATTGTGTTGATGAAAAATACCTTAGAAGATTATAAAGTTCATCTTAAAAATATTTTCATTAAATGTGATAACACAAGTGCAATATGTTTAACAAAGAATCTCATTCAACACTCAAGAACAAAACATATTGATATTAGACATCACTTTATATGAGATCATGTTACTAATCATGATGTAATTATAGAGTTTATTGATACTAAACATCAACTAGCTGATATTTTTACAAAGCCTTTAAGTGAAGAACAATTTGATTTCATTAGAAGAGAATTATGAATGTTGATGTGTCCGAATGCATGAACTTATTAAATTTATTTTTTGAACTTTCTTGATTGCTATGATGAGAATTTTACACAATTACACAACTTAATAATACGTTAGAAATTATGTGTTTTTTATGCAAAAATTTTCATGATGATGAGCATTTGAAAAGCTATGGCAAAAATGTATCTGAATGCATGAATGTGTTAAATTTCACTTTCGGACTTTCTTGATCCTAATAATACATTATTTAGTATTTCTCTTCTGGACTTAATATAGCTTTTATAAGCCTATGTCATATCGAGTTTGTTATGTATCATTGAATTTTGACATATGGAATCAATTAACAAATACATCTCTCGTAGATTTACCTTGTGAAAAATATTTTTTCGAGAAATGGATTTGATGAAATGATTCCTTCTTATGAATTCCTTCTTGACGAAGGAAGATTTTTAAAATGAAGTATGATTTAATCTCTTATCATTTTAACTTCATTCAAGTAAGTTCACAATGGCTTTCCTCCTTCATGTAAAACATTAATAACAAATAAAAGGGAAGAAGCAATGAAAGCTATCTTCATATCATGTTTGCTTAAAAAATTTGTATAATTGGTATCCTATCACTTATTATTGAAAAATAACATGAACCTTTTTATAACATGAATCATTTACCACACTTATGCTTAAAATTTGCTTAAATCGTTCTCCTTTTTGTTGATGACAAAAGGGGAGAAATATGTGGTAAATTGATGATAGAATTACTATAATTGCTATGATTGCCATATTTGCATTATGTTAAGATATCAAAAGCTTGCATTGTAATTTTACGATATTGATATCTTAAAATATATGGTAAATTAATGATAGAATTGCTATACACGTGAAATGTTTGCATTAATGAAAAGATATCTAGAGCTTACATTGTAATTTTACAATGTTGATATCTTACTATGTGATGAAATGCTATGATTGTTATACACTTGAAATGTTTGCATTGTGTTAAGATATCAAGAGCTTACATCGTAATTTTACAATATTGATATCTTGCCATATGATGAAATGCTATGATTGTTATACACTTGAAATATTTGCATTATGTTAAGATATCAAGAGCTTACATCGTAATTTTACATGTTGATATCTTACCATATGATGAATTGCTACGATTGCTATTTTTCATATTTGAAATGTAAGATGTGAAAATGGATGTCAAGCCTTGACATCATTTTCAGAGAGATACATCATGATAGGAATCATGATAGGAGTATTGATAAGGTTAAATGAACTTAACTTATCAATATGTCTTTTGAACTCAAAGACTTTGAATTCAAGAATGACTTATCTCAAGTATGGCATATAGATAGGGGGAGTTAATGTTAACTCCATCATTAATTGATTGTCATCATCAAAAAGGGAGAGATTGTTCAATCTCGGATTTTGATGATGAAATCAATTATCATTTAGTTAACTAATTTATATGTTGAGATAAGTGTGCAGGATTAACTACGAATGGCAGTAAGACATGCAGCAGGTGTTGTGTCGGAGTCAAGACTAAGATCACGTTGGGGGTTCGAGAGTTCGACGGAAGTCCGAACGGTCGTCGGAGGTTCTGCGGGAACAAATCCGAGAAGTCCAGGAGTTTGTCGAAATTCCGCCGGAGCTTCGTCGGAAGTTCACCGGAAACTCGCCGAAAGAAGCGATTAACGCATCGAAACACGAGTTGCAGTATTAATGTCTCAAATGTCATAGTTAGCATGAAGATTAAGTTAGGAATGTGAGGTGATCCCATTAACTTAATCTGGGGCTAATTGGACCCTTGACAGACCCAAATTGGGTCGAATGGATCAGCCCATTCGGACCCAGATTTCCTGGTCGACGGTGGCACCGCCTAGAAACTCAATCTCTAAGCGAAGTCAGGCAGTGGTACCACTTGAGCTCGGTCTCCGAGTGAAGTCAGGCAATGGTACCGCCTGAGCTCTGTCTCTGAGCAGTGTCAGGTAGTGGTACCATCCAGTTTTGGCAGTGGTACCGCCAGGACCTTGAAAATCCAGGAGATGACACTTTTGAGCTCCAAATTCAAACCAGTTGGGGCCTATGTAAACCCCACCCTTTCCTGCATAAAAGTGCACCGAAAGCTTGCATTTATTCTGAGAATTTGAGAGCTTAAAATTATTGTAATATGCTAGATATTCTTCTCCCTCTTTTCTTCTAAGTTTTGATCATTCAAGAGAGGAGTGGAAATCTGTAAGGGTTGTCTTCTAAGCTTGTCAAAAGGAGTAAAACTGTGAAAGGGTGGTTGACCTTCGCCTATTGAAGGAAGGCCTCTAGTGGATGTCGGTGACCTCATCGGAGGAGGAATCCAAAAGTGGATGTAGGTCAAGATTGACCGAACCACTCTAAATCTCGGTTTGCATTTACATTGTGCTCTCTATCTTAACTGCAAACTGGTTCTGTTGCTTTACTTCAACTATACTTTTGTTTAGTCTTAAGTTGAAGAACTTTCCGAAACGATTTTCATCGAAAATGCTTTCATCGTACAAACGTTAAAGTTCCCACCCCTCCCCCCTCTCCTCTTAGTGCTCTTGATCCTAACATATTCTCCATTGTAGGATAATCTACCTTAATTAGCCTAATTTGGTGCTATTCTTGCTCCAAAGGAGGGCCATCATCATGACTAAGGTGATAGATGCTTGGTAGAGTACCACTATCATGAAGTGATGCCCTTGAAATATAGAAATTAACACTAGCCAAAACTAATAAAGAAGTCAAAGGCACCAAACCCAAGGACACAAAGAAATTGACATTAGTCAAAACCAATACAGAAGTCAAAGGTGCCAAACCCAAGATCTCAAGAGCTCAATGTTGTCATCACCTGCTTTTGGGCATCGTTGAGGGACTGTCTCATGAATACAACCCATTCGTAACGCTCGAATGCATAACCCTTTAGTTCCACTATATCGCCTGCAAATGAGAACTCATCCTACGTAAGATCAGGCCTAGCAGCCTAACAATTGGCACATGAACTCATCCTGCTTAATTGGATAGAGTTCATATATAAAAAGTCAAGCTGGAGCACTCAATTAGCCCAAGAGGGATGTGGGACATTGTTTTGACATCAACCTACGAGTGTTGGGCTATCTTGATGCTTCCTCTCAGAGGATGAATGGGGAGCTTACTCCATGGCACCTTGAGGGCGGGAGGTGCCTTCAATCTATCTCCTTTGGCTTTTATAGGAGGGTGAATGATCAATCAAATGCTTCCAATGGGCTACTAAAACTAAGGACCACCTCTCCTCCTCTAGTATGGTACCTTGACAAGAGCCTCGATTGCTCTCTAGGCTCATTCCTCTCTCTCGTTTGGGATGATTTGTTAACATATTTATTTTTTTATCCTTCTTGTAAATAACATAGAAGAGTCTTCGAATGAGATCTCTGTGAGGAACAAAGGACAAAGTCAGATATCGAAGACAAATAAAACAATCTAGTATTCGTAGATTGTTGGGCTCCACTAATCGAGGAAACTACCCTCGAAGGGATAGCCTCGCTCCCTCACAATAATAACTGTAGCCTCTTTAGAGGAGAAGTGGGGTCGAACCAAGGGAGTGAGAAATGGTGACTAGCCCAAATCCGAAAAAGATGATAAAAATGGTCTGGAGAGTCAAGTTGGCAATAAGCATGAAGAAGATAAAAATGGATAACCCTGTTTCACAAGGGTCGTGTTATGTGAAGGTTTGACTAGGGAAGTGAAGTGGCAACCTCTGGTTGGCCATTGAAGTTTGGTCGATAGGATACGAAGATGGATAGCCCTGTTTCACAACGACTGCTCTCACTCGATCACAGATGACAACTCGTCATCCTCTACGAAGCAGTCAATACGACCGACCCCATAGGCCGAGTGCCCACTTCATAACGCTTTAATGTGGTCTTTGGTGATCTCTCGTGCTTTGAACTCTGAAACAGTTTTTCTTGTGGATTCGGCACCGATCCTCTGCAACACAGAGTACCGTCAAGTGCATCATGTACAAGGTTGGAATAAAATTTCTGAAAGAATAATAATCTGATTTCAAAGCATCATGTAAGTCAAGATTGCAAGCCAAGAAAGATAACTGGCTCTCTCCACTATGTAGCAAACTTCTGTTTCGACTGAAGACAAAAATAGTTCATAGTTGCATACCTTGAGATCTACACGGTTGATGTTGTCCACATACACTAGATTATCAAAACTGCAGCTGCATGCGTCAGAAAGATTATACATACAATATGAAAGATTCCGTAGTAGCTGAAAGTCCGAGGGCATCATCTAATTGCCACATCCAATGCCAAAGTGGAGATTCCGTAGTAGCTGAAAGTCCAAGGGCATCATCTACTTGTGATATCCAACTCCAAAGTGGAGATTCTGTAGTAGCTGAAAGTCCAAGGGCATCATCTAGTTGCGATATCCTACTCCAAAGTGGAACCTCCTTGCATTTTTATCATTAAATGCATACTCCAGGCGGAGAGGCCCCAACGGTGAATCCACACGAATACCAATCCCATAACCGAAACCACTGCCTGGCTTCCCCCGTGCCCCAGCCGGATCACCTGTACAACACGAGGGTCAGCAAGCAAGATAGCAATATTAATTTTTCCATTCTTATGTATTTACCAAATCACTGGAAATATTATATCTACCTACACACAGTATACTGCATTAAATGGAACTTAATTGACTCCTACTTTCCTCCAGGAAGCAAATCATAAGGTAGGAGGCTTTTTGGACCTTGCTTGATTTATCCTCAGAATATACTTATGATATATTACTGAACCCTTCAAATGTAGAAGAGAAGTTTAAATTTCTTAGTCGTAGACTTACCAGGCACCGTAGGACCTGAACCAAGATCACTTCCATAGTCTCCAAACAGCACACCTTCCAGTGGCCCATACTACAAACAAGAATAGAAAAAAGTTGATGCAAGAATGTGAAGATGAGACTTGCGATTAGAATTGACAAACACAACAGCTACGAGGGTTGTCCGAGGGTCCCAGAGACTGATATGAATCACATTCAAACTTTGTGACAGAAATAACACCAAAGGTGTATCTTATCATTTTGAGGTTCAAGCAATCAAAAGAGGTTAACTTCCAAACAATGGATGTTTTTAGATGAGGTATGCACGCTCTTTAATTTCTCGCTGCAATCTTAAGTTGTTGGCATCTTTGCTTCCAGGCAACTGGATGGCTTGGACAGACTTGAATCACTGTCTACCTAATTCTGAGTGTTGTGGCAGCAGCCAAAGTTGGTGTATCAGTTCTAAAGGCAGTCAGCAGAAGCAAAAAGGCTCAAGTGATTTAATATCCAACTATACCCCATCAAGATTATTCCTCTACGTCAACATTGTAACAGATGCTGTAAGATATTAAACATTAAAGCTGTCATGGTATTGGGAGAGACAAGTATGAAGAATGTTTTAGCAATGTTACAAGTTATATATGAACCTAAACTTGCAATGGGGCAGACACAAGCCATAGATACCAACTAGTACCTAATTATTTCCATATTTCTTAAAATTGAAATGGTCACTTAAATAGTATTAAAATACAAGTGATTTAAGCAGATATAATACTTTCCTATTAATGCTTCTCCATTATTCTATTCCAGTTAATGGCTCACAATTACATTGAAAGTACACTATAGAATAAACAAAACTCAAAACTTACCATGCCAAAGGAGATTTCTCCACTGCCAACAGCATATGAACGGCCAGAACCTACTGCACCTTCTTCATAACCTCTTACGCTGTTTGTCCCACCAATAGCAAATGCTTCATGAGGAGAAAACTTGCCAAACACATGGCCTCCAGAAACACTGTGATCCACAGAAGCAGGTTAGTATTTTTATATGTACGGAGTTGTTTGTGCATGGAATGTAGTAGCAAAATCAGCTGAATGTTTTATAATTAACAGAGTCAGAAAGAATTAGATGTACATCAAAAAGGTTGCCATATACTAACTACACTATCTCCTATTTCTTACTTATGAGATGAAAATCATAAAAGAAAAAAGGGGTTCATAAATAAGGAATGTGGCATGCTGTATAGGAATTTTTAACAAACATACCTGTAGTTGATGAGATCACTTCCATTTCCTTTTCTAGTGGTTAAAATATAGATGTCCAATCATCTAAGTGATGCAACTTAACAACGACCACAAAAAGTAAAGGCATGACTTGAGATCCTTAGCAGCTAGCATGAAGTACTGAAATATGATCCATCAAAGTTGTCATCTATGAATCATCTTCGGAGCCATTAACTCTTACCAATGCAGTTGCTTAAATGTTCATTAGAATTGAACCATTCAAAGCATTCAAATCCATATTAGACATCTGAGATCAAGCAAACACATTTATTTATAAAGATCTTACATGCTAAATTGCTTGAATGCCGACCAATAGGCTTCTGAACCATAAATTCTAAACCTATGCTTATGTTATTTCCTTTTTTTATTAGTAAAAGAATTTTGTTCTCATGGACCACCATTGTTGCTGTTACCATCCCAAGTGCACAAGCACACATAGAGCACTGTGTCGTGAACCACAGCAGAAGTTAATATATGAAGTTAATATGGTTAAAGGGAAAAGGCAAGGATACCATTGCTTGCATTTCCTCATCTAAGTAAAATGACAGTTCGTAAGTTCTAAACAATGTGCTATCACTTGTAATAATGATTTTCTAATTAAGATATTAAGATGTGGGTTACAGGATACAGGGTTAAAGTCACTAGTTTTCAACCCACTGACAGGCTTTAGACTATACCTTTTTTCCCTATGTTATTATAATATAAGGGCTTTCATCTTTCTCATCATCAGATTAAAAAAAAATCTTTATTTTTCTATGCTAGTAAAGCACATCATTGACCTATCTTCCCACCTTAGGTGAATATGCATACTCTTTTTGAATCCTTTAAATGTACATTTATTTTTCTTTTCTGCATGAGTATAAATTTTCTTGCTTTTTCAGGTCAATCATTTGATGCACTGAGTTGTACTTTAAATAATGTGTCCCGCACAAAGCACAAACATGAATATGGAACATTGATCATCTCCCAAGTCCACAAAAGATAATATGATAATGTTTTCTGGTCATTAGAACGTTGACTGTGTTTGTTAATTCCTACTCAAGCATTTTAATATAGGTTATGTTCAGTGATTTAAAAAGGCGCTCAGGCGCTCGCCTAGGCGCCGGGCACTTCGGGCGAGCGCCTGGGTTAAACCAGGCGACCGAACCAGCGTTTGAGGTCTGGTTCGATCTCCGATGCTTTAGTTGGTTCAAACGAACCAACTAAAGCACCGATATCAGCGTGACTTCCCCAACCCTAGCCATGCTCGTCGTTCACGCGACTGCCGCAGCTGCTCGCTGTCGCCGCTCACCACTCTCGCTGTCGTTGCTCACTGCTACCGCTGTCGCTCCCACTGTCGCCGCTCTCGCTCCTGCTGTCGCTGCTACCGTTGCCACTGTCTCCGCTCGCCGCTTCCGCTCCTGCTCCCACTACTGCTGCCACTGCTCGCTGCTACCGTTGCCACTGTCTCCGCTCGTCGCTTCCACTCCCGCTCCCGTTGCTCGCTGCTGCTGGTGCCACTGTCGCCGCTTGCCACTCCCGCTATCGTTGCTCACTGTTGCCGCTGCTACTGTCATCGCTCGTAGTTGCCGCTCCCGCTCTTCTCAGTCAACACTCTCGGTCTTCCGACTCTTCCCTTACACTCCTCCTCTTTCGATAGTATACTGTTAACAATATACTATATACTAGTAATAGTATTTGTATTTATTAGATTAATTTAATAACATATTTTTGTTTAAAAATTTAAATAATTATATTTATTAATTATATTATATATTTTTATATTTTAGCGCCTCACTTCGCTCGGGCAAGCGCCTAGCGCCTCGGGCGTTTTTGGACCGTGGCGCCTAGCGCTTTTTAAATCACTGGTTATGTCTGACTTGCACAAGGTATGAATAATAAATTCTAGATTTGTAAAGAACTTTTTCAAATAGTTGTGGCTTTTATCAAATGACCCCAGAATCCAATCCATAAATATGATGGAATGAATTAAAAGCACAAGAGAAAGAGCATGAATAGGCAACCTTATTTCACAAGCCCAATTGTTTTAAGTCCAACATTCCTAAAAATGAAGTTCCACAGAAGAATAACAAAAACCCCACTTGCCATATGTTACACAATATATTCCACTTATCAAAATAGCAATGATTTAAAAAGCGCTAGGCGCCAAAAGGCGCCAAGGTCCACAAACGCCCGAGGCGCTAAGCGCTCGCCCAGGCGCTCGCCCGAGCGAAGCGAGGCGCTAAATTATAAAAATATATAATATAATTATAACAATAATTTCAAATAAATAAAAATTAACAACATTAAAATCAAAATAATATATTATTAATCTATTAACAGAAAATTAATCATTTCAAAATTCAAATAAACTTAATATTAAGAGTATACTGAGCCTGATGGAGAAACGAGGAAGCAGCGGCGAGCGGCGACGGAAGCAGCGGCGAGCGGCGACGGCAGCAGCAGCAGCGAGCGGCGGCAGCGGCGAGCGACGGCAGCGGCAGCGGGAAAGGGAAAGGGAAAGGGAGCGGAAGGCGCGAGCAG